AAAGAGATCAAAGCAGAATTTGGAGAGACTGCAGTCATGCATACCAACGTTACAGCAACAAAGGTAGTATATCTATATGTACTAAAGGTAGCACAGTAACACCTGAGAACAACCCGCAAGGGGGTTTTTTTATTTTTTTTAGTTGCACTGACTCCACCAGTTATATGTATTTAGTTGGTATATATACACATACTTAATATTTAGGGAGATAAAATATTGTATCAAATATCCAAAATATTTCCTTCTGCAGAGATTAGATTTATAACCACAGCATATATAGTCCAATAAATCTAATAAAATCAATGACCTTTAATAAAAAAAAATTGCAATAAAGTTTAAGTATCAAGTCCTGTTAGAATGTCTAATCATCTTTCACATGGCTTTTTTAGGTGTGATTTCTACAGCCACTGCTAATTTAGACAGAGAAGCTCAACCTACGTATAAAATACTTGTGAAAGCAAAAGAATCTTTAGGGAATACTGGTAGGGAAGCAAGCATTGCAACAGTCTTTATTACTTTGTTGGATATCAATGACAACTTCCCAACGTTTAAAAAAGGTAAGGGTTATGCACATGATATTTCATTGCAGAATTAATAGTCAAAACAGAAAATGGTTTCATCAGAGTTCATACAATCAAAATGTATTACTGCCTAAAAAAGTATTAAAAATATTGTAAATTCAACACATTTTTTCAATTCCACTCCAACCCTGGCCCATTGCTTCAGGCACAGCTTTGATGTGCATCTAGAACAGAATGCACCCATTCAATATTATCTCCTTCATTCTGTACTGCATTTTGACGTTTTGAGGAGCCATGATTTTTTAACTGAACACAAAAAGAAAAGAAAACCTTTTGTCTGTAAGGATAAGTAACCTTTGGATTCCCTGTGACCTGTGAAAAAATGTTGATCTTAATGACTTATATTATGGATAAAAATTAACGAAAACTCGCTATTGCTTTTTTTAACAGAATCGTTTCACTTTAAAGTACCTGAAAACACCCCAATAAAAGGTGAAGTTGGCAGGTTGGAAGTGGTAGATATTGATGAGCCACAAAACAGAAACACCACATACAATTTTGTCCGTGGGTACTTCCAGGATACCTTTAAGATTATAACAATTCCATCCACAAATGAAGGAATAATTAAGCCACAAAAGGTATGGTTCCCCATGATAAAAAAGAATTGCTATACATAGCATTAACAGTTGACATCTAGGCTGCTGTTAGAATTCACTTTCAAAACAGCACTAACGCGACAGTCCAATGTTTCTATCAGTTTGGAAGTCAACGAGTGAGTTGATTCATCATCAGGTTAGAAACTTTTATCCTCAACAGTGTAAAGAGACTTATTTTGTCAGATATCAGTTTCCCCTCAGCTTACTAAGTCGGGTATGTAGCTGCTTCTGTGAGCGACTGTTTTTAATGTTTTGATCTTTTGGCTGAAGCAATGATTTTTTTTTTTTGGGTGTCAAAGTACAAAATAAAAAAAAAATCATCACGTTCTGTAATATCTCTGTTCTAAAATACGCCCAGCCCCCAGGGTCTGTTTGCTTTCTTTGTTCTCTCTGGCTAGAAACAGACATCACCAAACGAAGTGGATCAGCTGTGCCACAATGTATCACAGCACAGCTCATCTGCTTCACCAGGCAAAATGCACATTGCTTACTGTTGCTGGGTCAATGAGCAACGCATTCCCACTTAACAGAGATGCATCTGCAGGGAACATCTGTAAGCAGGCAAACTCAACTCCGATCCGGTCTCTGTGCTGAGACCTCCCAATCAAATGACAAGTGGTCCAAGGGCATGGACATCCATTTGCTTTTCCATACAAATTCTTATGGTGGCACAAAGACAATGTCTGTTTTCCATTATGTGTTTAACACTTGGCCTACTCTGAGCCACACTAGCCTTTCCCACTCTTCCCCTTTTTTTCAGGGTTTCGCCATTACTACTAACAATTGCTATTAGGGAGTCTGAACTCTCCCAAAGAGCCTTTATCATGGGTGGCTCCCCTATTTCACTTATAATGGAGAGACTCTCTACATTTGCTACAGTATTGTCAGCTTTAGGCCCTCAAAAACCTGCCTCCCCTAAAAAAATCATAAATAGGCTTACACCTAATAAAAAATACGTCTTTTTGTTTACTTACTGGTTTGTGAACTGTGTGGGTATGATTCTTTCATGTCTTCAAGCCTCTCTCCAGAGCCATGAGGGTCAGAAATGTTTAGGTTCTTTAAATTAGCCCAGGGATTTCTGAGAGGACCAGCATTAAGGGCCCTCTGTTAAAACTGCAAATTAAGTGGGGGGATTTGATGCAAATTGATGAGGTAAGGCGAGTATTTGAACATCTGGGGTTCTGTTTGTAGGGACTGTGTACGTCTAGTACCGGTTTGCTCCAAATGGGCCTAGTGCAGTTGATTGGACTGTGAACCAAGCAGGTTTTGTTTTGGAATGGCAGTTAAGACTAATCAGCTTTATAAAAGGAAACCTCAAGGACAAAGTAAGCATCAAACAATGACCTTGCCTGTGGAGGGAGTCAGGGTGAGACCCAGAAGTAATTAACAGGTCTTCAAAGGGGGTGAGGAAGCAACAATGGAAGCTAGCAGGATCAGTTGCCCTGATCTGCACGGGATGTGCCACAGGTGTATTGCCCTCTGAAGGCAGAGACGACACTGGCAAGTGTCCACTTGGTGCCAACAATACGTGAGGATAGAGGGACTCATACTAATTTTATTGGTCCAAAGAGGATGGAGCTGGACCGTTCGCAGTGGTGGCAGATGATAGAACAAGGAGCAATGGTCTCAAGTAGCAGCAAGGGAAGTTTAGGTTAGATAGTAGAAAAAACTCTCTCACTAGAAGGGTAGCAAAGCACTGGAGCAGGTTACTCAGAGAGGTGTTGGACTCTCCATCCCTGCAGGTTTCTAACACCCAGTTAAACAAAGCCTTGGCCGGGATGATATAGTTGGAGTTGGTTCTGCTTTGAGCAGGGGGTTGGACTAGATGGCCTCCTGAGGTCCCTTCCAACCCTAATATCCTATGATTCTATGATATTTTAACATTTCCATTGCCCTAAGCAGACTTTAAAAAATAAAAAAGCCATTTAGGTTCACAGCTTGTATGTTGAAACAAAATGTTGACCCTTCAAAAAAAAAGAACCGCAGCCAAATTTTTCTTTCCTGTAGATCAAACTGTTTTCTCATGGATACGCTGATATTTCTGGCACTGAATGGCACACCACTCGTATGCCAAGAAATGTACATCAGTCCTTAAGTTCAGCTGCTTTTACAACATGTAGAATTAATGCTGAATTCCACCTTGCCCATAGTGGGCAAGCCAAACTGAGAAGCCTTTTGGTTAGTTAGAATATGTTAATATTTCCAGTATGGTTCTTCAGGGTAATGCTAATGCTACATGTGCTCAGACATTACCAAAGCATGGATATCTAGATTTATCTTTCGTTTTAGCCATTAAACTATGAAGAAATAAAGGAGTACAAGTTTAATGTTGAAGCAACCGATCCAACGGTTATTCCTCGTTATTACAAGCCTGGTGGAAACAAAAGCATTGCATCGATTACTATCGAAGTTCTTGATGTTGATGAACCTCCTGTCTTCTCTCAGCCATTATATATTTTCAAAGTAGAAGAAAATAACCCTCAGAAAAACAAGCAAATCGGCACAGTTTCTGCAAGGGATCCTGATGCAGCTAATCGGGCAATTAGGTAACACCACGGTGGACATGACACTAGCTTTAGGAAACTATGTTTTGAACTATTGACCGTTTCAACAGACACGGGGATATAACTGAAGTTTCAAAAGTGCATATGCAAAAATATCTGATTTGCACGTTTAAACACCACAACTCTGAATAAAGGTACAACAAACTGCACACAAGCAGTCTGATTACCAACACATAAAAATCACATGAAGTGACTGATGGCACACGCACATTAGTGAAACTGCACATTTCTGAGTATTTCTTTCATTATGTGTCCATAGAATGTATTTGTAAGGTTTTATGGCAATCAGTATCTTTGTGAAAACAAAAAAGACTATTGGCAAAGTAGTAACCAAAATGTATTAAAGAAAATGCAGGAACCTCTATAACCAATACAAAATGTGTTACACTACTATATTAGAGTCTGCATAATTTGAGGGGAAAGTTCTATATGCAGGGCAGGATTTTAATAAAATGAAACATGCATCTGTAAAGATTTTTAATGGGCAGTTTTTGAAACTATAAATAATCCCAGTGGGCACAGATAAAAGGACAAAATGGAGGTAAAGCATCAGAACTGCATAGTAAATTCAATTTATCATATAACAATGTACTAACTCTCTCCTATGAAGACCTAATATTACACAATTTAATACCATTATGATTTTGACAAAGATTTATATTTTTTAACTAAATGCAGATATATTCCTCGAATATCAAGCCCTCCTGGAAACTACATCAAGATATCAGATACGGGAATGGTTTTTCTCAACCAGGCTCTGGACAGAGAAACCAGTGCTTGGTATAACATAACCATAAGAGCCGTGGAGCTGGCTGACAAGAGTAAGTGCTGCCTAAGAAACCTGGTTCCTAGGTGGGGGAGGGAAAAGTGTCACACAGTATTTGTAGCAAGTTAGTACATCCTACAAATACCATCAGCTGTTTCTGAGCTACAAACTTCCATATCAAACCATACCTACAATGGGAGCCAAGAACATTTCAGTCAGCACAGGTCCATTGCTACTATGAAAAATCACACCCCTTCTTAACCAGGATAAGCATGAGAAGGACAAGTACGCCACCAGTGGATCAATCTTGAGGCCAGTAAGCAGGACTGAATCCCATGAGTGCCATACAACAAGCAGTTCCAAAAAGCAGCTATTCCTTCAGCATGTTAAGGCAGAAGGACCTATGTAAAGGCAGATCTGCCATATCAGAGCCATTCAAATCTGCTAATGCTGGAAGGCACAAAACTCCTTTTCTTCCTTCATTCAAAACCGACTATGCTCCTGCTAAACCAAATGCACTTTTGCATAGCTTTACTGTAGCCCAGCCTTGTCCCAGCTTCTACTTCAGTGCTCAAAGTAGCAGTAAAACTAAAAATTCTTGGGTTTGATTCCACACCCATAACGAAAATGAATGTGTTAGTATTCATGTTAGCAAGCCCGAGTTCCCCTCCACCTGACCACTTATGTCCCCATTTGAGGATTGTACGTATAGAGAAGCCACATTAACTACTTCACAGGCCAAACCCCTCCATTGTTCCCATGGTAAGAGCCAAGCAGGAGTTGGGAAAAAGTTACAGCCAGAACTTGTAGCACTCATTCATCCCCATGTTTGCCCTTGGATGGAACGGCCACTAGGATGCCTACGCAGGGTCCAGCACAAAGCCATAAGCAACTTCCCAACTCTTTCTTTTGGATGAGTGGGCCTAAGCATGGGACAAACACACTACAAGTGGATCATGTTCACATCTAACAACTCAAACTAGGGAGAAACATAAATAGACCCCAGCCCCATATTCTGTGGTGTCCTTGTATATTGTGCTGAAGTACCACAGGAGGACAGAAGAAGAACCCAAGCGCAAACAAGGCTCTTGGACGCAGACTTTAGATGTTAACATTATTTTGCTTATTAATAATTTCATGTTTATAATTTCAGATACTCTGTCAGACAAAGAATCGCAGGCGCACATTCATATCCAGGTTATTGACGTGAATGACAATGCTCCAGAACTGACTTATCCAGAGGAGCCCAGAGTATGCGAAAATGCTGAACCAGGACAGGTAATGCATGAGAGGTCTTTTTGCTAATACTTTACTATAGGATTGCAGTCACATGAGGAAAAAAATATTCTCAATTTGAGAATCCAAGCTTCAGATCTCCATTTGCCTTTAGTGACAGCTCCATGACTGCACATATGCCCAAACTGTCAGCAACAAACTCTGCTACAGTTTTTCTGGATGCTACAACACAGATTTCCATCCATTCCCACCTACATACAGATTGCATAACCACTCCCCATCTAACACAAGGTCAGTAGTATGAACATGCATTAGCTGTTATATCATAATTCATTTAACCCCTGTAAGATAGCAGTTAGCACCAGCAACTTATTTCCATCATCTGCCCAGTATTCCTTTATGCAGAAACTATGCTATGTAAAAACAGCCAGCAGAAAACATATCTGAGTATATTCTTTACTGCACCAAGTTATAGTTTCCAGCAGTACCACAAAGTTGGCATTTGTATTTTTGAGCTATTTAGACTCAGAGACACATTCACAACAATTACCTGTTGTTTCCTTGATTTTTGTTCCTTTATAGTGTTAGTATCAAATTAGGCCAAAAGGGAAGATATGAGCAGAGCACCCCAGGGTAGAATTTGACCTTTAATTTTATTTTAATGCACATTTGGCGTCCAATTTATAGGTCCTGTCATACATATTCGTTTACTGTATTGCATCCGATATATTGTGCATTGGATACTTAGAGGGGGGATTTCAAAAGTAAGTATGTGATTTAGGAGCATCAGTTTCAACAAGATTCCAGTTCCTGAATCCATTAAGCCCCTAGAATAGTTAAATGATTACAGTATTAACTTATTCTTTTATGGCTACTTTGCAGTTATCCATAATATAGCCAAGAAGAAAAGAGCAAGAACCTGCCTCTGCTAAACTGAGGCAATTTGGATCTTACTGCCCAATGCTGTGGAGAATACACAAGCCATGATGCAGACCTCTACACTGGGAGAGGGCAGTAAAACGATATTATACACCAGTATCTTTGTTCTTTGCTCTACACCAGGCAGTGAGCCCGATTGGTTATACGAGGGAAGGAAGCTTCCTCTTTCTATATGACTGTGCTAGGCATATTAGTCCCCCTTCACAGTGCGGAGGGGAGCCCCCAGAGGCAGCTCTGTCCTGATATTTACTGCAAATGCTGCATGAAGTCGAACTTTAAGCTACCGTATTATACTGTGAGTGTTTTTGTATAGTGCATATCTAAAAATTATGATGGGCTTTTAAATCTTTATAGGTAGTCACCAGGATTTCAGCTACTGACAAGGATGAAATGTTGCCTGGAGTTTACTTTAAATATTCCTTGGCCACAGAAGACAGCAACTTCACATTGTCTGATAATCATGGTACTGTATCCCTTCAGTGAATTTCCTCAGATAGGAAGAGAGAGGATTTAGGAAGTATGGGATGAAAGCCAAAAGGACTGTGATGGGTCCTCATGGGTGACTGAGATTTATAACAGGTTATTAAGGCTCAACCTACTGAAAAAGTGGTGTTTGTGGTCACTCAAATGTTTGTACGCTCTATAAAGGCATGCTTAGCTTCAGGGGAAGACACATCAGACGACTGATAATCTATAAAGAAAATGAGGCTGTTAGATTACCACTTAATTAAATGCCATTATCTTTTCCAGATAATACAGCAAATGTCACTGTCAAATATGGACAGTTTAATCGCGAACTCGCTAAAACCCACTTCCTGACTGTTATGATATCAGACAACAGCAAGCCTGCACTTACCAGCACAAACACACTTCCCATCAGCATCTGCAAGTGTAATGAAAGAGGAGAAGTCACTTTTTGTGAAGCAAGTGCTAAGATAGTTGGAGTTAGCATTCAGGCACTGGTGGCAATTTTTGTCTGCATCCTCACAATCATTGGTAAATATTTGATATTTTGCTTTTGAGGCATGGTTTTTAACTGGGGTCTTCTGGAGTTTTCTATTCATCAAGTGACCAGGAAGACAGGGACACATTAAAAGGAGTTTGCTGAATAAATTCTTTCAGCAAACCCTTACTTTTTGCTTGGCATATCACAAGAGTTTCTAAGGAGCAATGGTGATTTTGCCACAGTAGTATTTGCTCAGCATTATTAGGCAGCTGTATGACAGGAGCTGATTTCTTTCAGAGAGGTAACAGGTTTCTTGTCTCAAAAATACAAAATGGTATGGGCACAAGATGAAACACTACAATAAAAACAGTATAAATTTTACTATAATGTATTACATTACAGCAACCATAGGTTATTGTAATCTATGTAAGGATTTTGTTGATGGAGGAAGCGGAGAAATTGCCTTTGCAAAACTGGCATCTAAAATCCAGCTAGAGAAACATAAGAGTCCATTATGGTAAAAAAAATATATATAGATATTAAAACAGCACTTAATGTGGAATTACTGGCACAATGGATGGGTTGTGTGATGGAACTTGGACTGGACAGAAGGGTGAAAGCTATTACTGTTTGATGTCCTATGTAAAATGATTGGGTTATCTAAGTCCAGTGTCTGATGGCCAAGTGTTCACATCACTAAGCCAAACACAAGACAGAAAAGTAGGCTCAACCACTATCAAAGGATATATCCTCCATGTCAGGTGCAATGGAAGGTTGTGTGAGAAGAGCTTACATTGTTGGGACCTATTTTCTCTTAATGAATGTAGGATGTCAGTCTCCAGATGCTATTAAAATAAAATTCTAAGGAGACACAGATATGAGCACTACAGCTGACCACTACTGTCCAGGGCTAGGGACAGACATTACACATAAAATAGTTTAAGTGATCAGAAACTGGTGTAAACCTGTAACAGAACAGACATTCAGTGCACATAAACTAGTTTTAAAATGTCTGAAACTGGTTTGAGATAAACCTGGTTGAATGTAGTATCAGACTTAACTACTTTGGCTCAACCCAGTTTATGCAATGTCTGTTGCAGAAGGAGGAGGAATAACCCCTGTCCCTGCTTCCCCACCCCTCCCCCCTCCCCCAAGGGCCCTCTCTGGCCATGCCCCTGCCCCGCCGCTGCAGCGGGAGGGGTCAGGGCCAGTGTTGGGGGCCTCAGCCCCTGTCATAATGTCAAGGAGTGCAAGCCCTTTCCTGGCAGGGGCACTGTACTGAGGGGTGGGCAGAGCTGCAGCAGGATGCACATGGCAGCACTGGTGTCCAGAGCAGGCCAGAGCCATCCAAGATCCCTCAGCGCCATCCCGCTCCATAGCAGCTCTGCCAGTCCTGCAGTGCGGCCCCCACCTGGAAGAGGCTTGCGCTTGGGGAAATGGGGATGGGGGCTGCTGTTCCCATCACAGTCGCTCCCCCCTCACTGCTCCAGCAGCTGGACAGGGGCGGTGCCGGGGCCAGACACTGCAGACAGGGCTCCTGGGGCAGGGGGGGCAGGGAGCGGGGTTATTCCCCACTCTGCCCCTGGAGCTCTGCAACTGGCTCTGCCCGGCCTGGCCACAGCTGCCACTCGGTCTGTGCTCGGGGCAGCGTCCAGCAAAATAAGTCCCCTCCTGCCAGGAAGAGTCGAGATCGAGTCAGCCCAGTGCTTGGTCTGTAGCCACCACTTGGTCTGTGCTTGGGACCAGCTCCCTCCCAGCAGGAGGGGGCTTATTCTGCTGGATGCTGCCCTGAGCACACACCCAGCGGCAAACTGTCCACACATTCCCAGCACAACTTCCCTGCAGCCGAGGGCACACTCCAGCGGCCCAGGCTCCTGGCCTCAGCAACTGCAGGCATGGGCCAGCATTTCCCCAGTCCCGAGAAAATGTTTGTCCTGTTACAAACTGATTCAACCTAGGCAGGTTAGACTAGCCTGCAAAAGTTGAATCAGTTCAGGCTCCGGCTTTCTGAATGTCTGTCCCTAGTCCAGATGCATGTGTATAAGCAGATTTTACAGTTAAATGCCATTTTGAATTCTTATATTTCCTGTAAGTGGAACTTCAGATGGTGTTAAGTTCTGAATGCAGTCTGTTTTTTCTCCGCTTACTTTCATCTACCTTCACTTATAAATTTGCCATGTTTTGTCTGCAGTAATCACGTTGCTACTTTTCCTGAGAAAGAGGCATAAGAAAGACCTGAATGTTCTCAGGAATAATGTGGCAGAAATCCATGAGCAGCTTGTCACCTATGATGAGGAGGGGGGCGGCGAAATGGACACCACCAGCTACGACGTGTCTGTGCTCAACTCCGCCCGCAAGAACACCATGAAGCCACCAAGGCTGAACCTGGAACCTGCACTCTCCCCGTATGCACAGATCCAGAAGCCCACAGGAAGTGGACATTCTGGCACTGGGGAAATGGAAATTATGATTGAGGTGAAGAAGGATGAAGCTGACAATGATGGGGATTTGCTGCCATACGACACCCTTCACATTTATGGCTATGAAGGAGCTGAGTCCATTGCAGAGTCTCTCAGTTCTTTGGAGTCGGGGTCCTCAGACTCAGACATTGATTATGACTTTCTAAATGACTGGGGACCCAGATTTAAAATGTTAGCTGAGTTGTATGGGTCAGAACCAACTATAGATTTTGTCTATTAAGTCCAAAATAACTGAGTTTCCCCTCCCCCTAGCAACAGACAGTAAAGCCAATATGCTGCCAGTGCACAAAGGAGGACTGACAGCTCCTTACCCAGGCAGTACTGGCTACCACTAGGATTGCAGAAACTAAGAAACCCAAAGCATTTGGGATAATAAAGAAATACAAAGAAATCCTTTAAGAAAAAAAAAATATACTGCAGCTCTTGCCCCACTCCTCTAGACTTGACACCTGGGAGGACACTGGTTCTTCCAATGACACTCCTTTTGATTCACTACTGAGAAGCATTTGACACTTACCTGGGCAGAAGCCACATGGTCTATGACTTCTTCCCTATTTCATGTCTCCCTTCCACTCTCCTCCTCCCCTTTCCAGTTTCTAAATGCACAACCCAGATCATCTAGTGTTAGAGCAGAAGGGTCTAGAAATGCAGACTAGGAACATTATGCAGCCACCTGTTTCCCCAACCCATAGGTCTACCTTGCCTCCTGTAACACTTTGCATGGACAAACCGTACACACAGCAGAGTAAGAGAAGCTAATGTCTATCATTCAATACTAGAGGTTATTTCATCCTATTCAGAGAGGCAGGACTTTTCCCCCCTTTGCAATCCTCTGACTACTTTTCTTCAATACCCTTCTGATCCAAATATGGACTCTTGGTGAAACACAGACCTCTTCAGGATTTTTAGTGATCATTATCAATATTAACAGCCAGACTGTATATTTTAGACACAGTCCTGGAGCATTAACATTCCTCTTACTAGCACGCTGAGTCTTTTTTTCTAAGGATCTCAGTGCTGCTGAGCTGAATATCTCTTGTAGGACAGGAAGCTTAAGGAACAGAGGGAATGTCGGGACTTCAGGTTTGTAAGGTTTTACTAGATTGCAACCACTGTGTCACAGGTTGAGCAGCTTGTTGGGTTTCATTAATTTTTTAAGTAAGTTTTCTTTTCATCGTAGCTGATAGAATGTTGCTATTTCAGGGAAAAAAAATTAAAGGGCCTCACTACTGTGAAACTATTGACTTTTTTTGTAAGCAGGTACTGTAGAATGGGTATTTCCGCTTAAAAAATAGTAGGGAATTCCAAGGCAGAATACCATAGACCTACATACTTCACTGTCTGTCATAAAAGACCAAAGCATGAACATAAGCAAGATTTTAGGGTGCAATAACCCCTTGTGCCTGAGGCATGTACATGCTTAGCTTTACATGAGAGGGAGTCATCCTGTTCAGGACAATGGAGTTTACTTCCTAACGTTAAGCACATATTTCAGTTTTGCGTGATCTTGCAATGCCATCTCCCGTGATGGCAATGGACCAACTCCTGCCTTCACTGATGTAAGACTCCCACTGATCTTACTGGAAGCAGGGCCCTGCCAACCAGATACCCAGTTTTGCAGACTCTGTACTGAAAATGCATGATTTAGCTCAGTTGATCTATTTAAAATTGGATTTTATATTACAGTAACTAACCCAGATAACACTTTTTTTAACCAGAGTAGCGGAATCTCACTAATTTGCACTTTGCTAATCCACATACCCCATAATTTAGACACAAAACACGGTAGGCTTTCTTAGCAAGGACATAATAGCAAGGCAGTGCTGCATGGTATCATTATTAACTTGTCAATATTTTTTAAAATCTACTATACAGCAAATTACCATATCTTGCTCAATGCTATTATCAATAATTCAGATTGTGCTACAATTATCAAACACAGGCCTGACCAAAAGCCTCCTGGGAGCCTTTCCATTGGCTTGACTAGGCTTTGGATCATGTTGTGCGCAATGCAAATTTTGGATTATTTATCCTTGCTTTTATTTTTATTGCACTCGTTCACTCAGGCTCCAGTTTCCTAAATCCAGTCAGCAGTATACGTTAGTGAGGTTCAACTAGGGAACATGTTACTAATACTACTTATATTTTAAGATTTTCATGAATAATTACATGCTGAATTGCAAAACTGTAAAGTTAGTTATGAAACTGTTTAGATTAACAACTAAAGTTACTTTTGTAGATGTTGGTATTTCCTATAATAATTTTTTTGCAATTTGTTTAAATTTATGCAAAGAAACACTGTACTGATCTCAACTGTACATAATGTTTGCACTGGGTTTCTTTTTATAATACTGTACTGTATTTTTTTTGACTTACATAAAAGCTAAAGTCAAATGTAGTTTTATTTCTCTTTGTATTAATAAGCCATACATATCTGACAATTCCAGCCCTTTGGGTTACCTAGCTCTAATGAACTTGGATATCAGATCGGTGGAATCTCTTAGTAAAGGCACTAGGAAATCAAAATACAGGGAAATGTAGACATTAGTTCATGAAGGGACCCATTGCTTTTTTAAGACATTTTCCCCAATGATTAGTGATTGTATTTTATATAGATTTTAATAATATGAAACATTTTGATTACCTACTTGGAAAAATTCTACTTTTACTAAAAGTCTTCTGCAGTGTTATTCATTCAATTGAATATATATTTTTTACTGGGCATGGTAAATGTAATTGCGACGTGCAGCATTTTATACCTACTTTGTAAATGACAGTGCAAACCATTCAGATGTCATGTTACTTGCCATGTCTTTCCTGTTCAAAAGAACTGTTTCCTTTTGGCTTAGGTCAAAGACAGAAATTTTGCAGTTCATTCTAATCGCAGCTGGAGGTCCCACAGCTGGCAAGAAAGCTGTCACAAAACTCTTCATGCACCTTGAAGGTATTATTGCTATCATAAATACAGACCTGGAAAAACCTATATAAGTATCCATCTTATGCAGGAACATTTACACAAAGAGTGCCAGCCTAGCACATCAAGGTTAATGGGAAGTTTGCCCAAAAAAACCCACACATAAAAAAGGCAGTGTGCCCCACCCAAAACCAACTGCCAGCTTCCAGCCAGGCTCCCAGCTGCAGGAGTGATGCATCTGTAGCTTCCCTAGCCCCCAGGTAAAGCTGCTGGGGTCAGCACAGATGCTGACCCCAGCCTTCCCTACCCCACCCGGGGTAACCTGCCGCACCCCAAAGGGCGGGTGGGCACAGGCGTTCTCCAGAGACGACTAAGAGCAGCACAAAGTGTGCCACTGCTAGCTGTCCCCAGGGAACCAAACGTCCACGCTTGTTTGGACGTGGACTTGTGTGGCCACTGAGTCTAGATTTCATGTCCCAACCCAATAAACCCAGAATAAGGACCACGGCTTTTTTCACTGCATTTAAGACAAATAGGAAAACAGGAAACAAAGGAATAGCGTTAGCCTGTGTCAGAAAGAGGAAAAGAGTAAAAAAAGAAAAGTCCCCTGTGAGCTATAGGTCAGATGGCTGGTTTCCTAGCTTCTTACTGCTTCCTGACTCCCATTTCCTTGCTACTCTGAAAAGGAAAGAGCTAAACAGAACTTCCTCTTCCCCTCAAGGGCATCCCCACTAGTTTTTTTTTTCCTACATGACTGCTCTGGCAAGCTCCTAGCTAAGCCCTGTCAGCACTTTTATGCCTCCTAAGTTCTTCTTCTAGCCCCCACAGGCACATTTTGCCCATTGCATCCTTCATAAAAGCTAACTAAGGAAGAAGATTCTGAGTGCAATCAGCATTCTCTGTCATGCACATACACGAACACCTGGTGGCACTCAATTCCAGTAATACTGAGAGAGAGAATTAGGCTGCATTGTTCCACATAGTACATTTTATTGTCAGAAATCTGCTTTTTCTATCAGCTACTTGGACTCCACAGCACAGATCCACAACTTGCCTCTATAGTATTGTTACATCAGTTCACACAAACATTATTAAGAAACTGGTTAATGCTACAGACATTTTCATGCCTTGACAGTGAACTCAGAGAAGAATGCACACATTCTTGCATGCTGTTAACCCGCAAGGCTTGCTTTTTCCAGCATTCCTGAGTGTGTCCCCAAGGCTTGTGGAGCCAGCTGAGACGACGATATGATGTGTTACATTCAGAAAGAAATCACTGAATCGCTATCTCTTTCCAAAGTGGAGCTGTGTGGAAGGGAATGAAAAGATGTGGATGCCGGACAAGGCTAAGGAGGACAGAAGAGATGGGGGAATTTGATTCAAATTCCTCTCGCTAATTTTGGTCCTTTTGGAAATCAGTAAGATTGACGTCTATTGTTTTACAATGGAACCAGGATTTGGTCCTGCAGTGCTTTCTCTTAGGGGTGGCTTTCCAGATACTGGGGGCATGGTCTTTATTTCATTTTTTATAAAATTATTTATTGAAAACTAACAGAAGGAAAGTGTGGCAATCCCACAAAGGCCCTTTTTAAAACTTAAGCGAGAATAAAAAACAAACAATTCAAAGATACTAAGATTGCCACCAGCTCCAAGCTTACCTAGCAAGTACTGAACTGCTTATTTTTTCCCAGGCCGATAACTGCATTATGCCAATGGCACCCTTGTCAGCTGCCTTTGCCATTCTGGGTGGTAATATTATGCGCACACATGCTCTCTGTTATCAAATATTGCCATGTACCTGTACCAGCATAGGAGACCAAGACTTGAAAGTATTATCTGGCTGTTGCATCAATTCTCTTTTTGATCTTGGGTTAGTAATTTTGGCCTGGATTCCAAAAAGCGATCCCTAATATTCTTTTGGTAAAGACTACGGCACTTAGAATGAGAGGTCAGTTTTAAAAGTGCAGTTTTTAAAATCCCCTCCATCATCAACATGGAAGTGGATCACAATCAACCACACAATGCTGTTGCAAGGGTTAATTAACATGTGTACAGCCTTTGAAGATGTAACATGCTCCAGGAACAAGTATTAAGGTTTATTTTAATTACTAGGCGTGGAAGGTTAATTTTTTTCTTGGTCCTGTCTTCTGTCAAACGTTCTGCACAGGCCACTGCTTCTGGTGCTGGTGTTGACAAATCTTGTGGGGTGCATTGTGGTGCTACGGGGCATCTCAGGAGATGATTAGTTATTTTTCCTTACTTATAGCAGACTTTAAAACACAAGACACTTCCCAGAATCCCAAAGAGTTTAGTGAAAGGACATTTTCCTGCCTGGCAGAAACCTTGTTAACAGGAATATTCCCACTGCCATTTAAAGACCTATTCATAGGTCCTCTATCTGCAAAGAAGATTTGGACTCTACATTCAACATGTCACTGTAAGGGAGGGTGGCAGAACAGGAAGGACGTTATGAACAAAGGTTAGAGTAAAGGGATCATATGGTCATTCAGCATGTGCACATGCTGGATGGTCTTACAAGTTAGCCTTTTAATTATTTAAGTAAAGCTGCATGTGCCCCTTACTTTACACACAGTCACCCAAAAACCCCAAAAGCTAACTCAGATTTCATATTGTAAGCAGACTCCTTAGGCTAATTTCATTACAGACCTGCTAAATTCATGTGGCAGGTAATATAGGCTAGGTAAAGCCAAAAAGCCTGAGGCTGCGTCGATTCAGTCTTTGCAGGTTAGTCTAAAATGCACAGATTAAACTGAAACAGATTCAGGAAATGCAGCCGCATGCCTGCAGTGGCTCAGGTCAGAAGCCAGGGTGCTCTCTGGCTGTGCTTACTTCCTTTTCCTGCTTCCCCCAAGGTCTCAGGATTTGCAGTCCAGAATTATAGAAGTAGGATTCTGCAGGGTTGCTCATCACTTCCTCTTCCTGCTCTCAGGTGACTCTGGGATTTGTAGTCCACAATTGTAGCCAGCAGTAAATTTGGAGGATATTTAAACCTCGCCCTGGCCCCAGACTCCAGCCAGGGCTTGCCTGAAGGGGACAGTCCCCCGCCTTCCCCCCCATAGACTGAAATGTATCCCCAGCCAGGCTCGTCTCCCCCACCCCCTTGTCAGCCAGCCCTCACTGATCCAGCTAGGGAGCAGAGGGGTGGGACCAGGCCTGCTCTCTGGAGCATTCAGCACAGCCTAGGGCTGAAAAGCATTCTGGGATGCTGGGGGGACTATGATTTAACTTGAACCAGGAAGGGCTCTGAGACAAAAGTTTCATAAACTGGTTTGAAACAAATCAGTTAAATCCGATACTACATTCAACCAGGGTTATCTTAAACCTGTTTCAGCCATTTTGAAACTGGTTTATGTGCACCAAGCTTCTGTTCTGTTACAGGATTAAACCAGTTTCTGATCACTTAAACCAATTTATGTGTAACTTCTGTCTCTAGCCTTAATGGTTCCTTCCGGCAATAGAAAAGTACAAAGAGAGGCCACCGTTTAGTCAGGTGCTAAGTCAGGCTTTGATGTTCTCTGAACTTGATACTATCTACATGGGGTATGCTCAATCATGCTCTTCAGGCACGGAGTCCTTTTGCACTGATGTATATCTGAACAGTTCACAAGAAAGCAGCAAGAGCAGCTATAGCTTGAGTTGAAGAGTTAATGTTCCCTAAGTGGACTCAGAGTAACAGACTCACCATATCTGTAGGGCGAGTCCAGAAGGGGAACTATAATGCATGTTCTCTAGTGTCTTACACTGTGCAACAAATTCATGCAATACATTTTATTTTGATACCAAGTTGCTGTTGCCTAGTAAATACATCACTGACCCTACAGTCAATGAGGGGTTTCTAGCTATTAAAAATGGCAAGATCTGGTAATGGAATTAAGATGTCATCCTTAATACACAAGATCATAAGACACTACTCAGGATGTCAATCAGAAGCTGAACAGAAAAGAAGGGTCTTACGACAGAATTTCAAGGGGAGATATGATCTGATGTCTTGGAAGCAGCAAAGCTCCACAAACCAATGTTCTTATAAAGGCAGCTTATCAATTGCTTCTAGTCTCTGCAACTGCTGTATTCTTCACTTTAAGCCTCAGGGCTTCTGGCTAGGAAGGATCCTGAGTGAATTTTTCTTTTCTTTTAAGACTGTTTGGCTCCAAAAATCTATATTAATCCAGAACAAGAGAGTAGAAGAAAAAATATGTGAAACTTAAACTAGACTAATCTGATAATTCAATGTTCCTGAAGGGAAATTCAAGTCCTGAGGTGTACATCTTATTGAATTGGAGAAACAATACTGAACACTAAATATCTCCACAGCACTGGAAGACTTCCTTATATTTACATGCTATATAAAAGATTTTTACTTACAGCTAACGTAGTATCTCAGCAAGCTAGAGACGTGACTGTGGAGGCTTACTGTCCTGAGGACTCCCGAGTCACTGAGCAATACTGTAGGCATGGAAGAATTGTAGCTTA